CTTCTTAAGGTCTTCTAGGTCAAGAAGAACTATTTAAGGTCGCCTTTCAAAGGCCTCTTATGGGTAGAAGAAGTTCCAAAGGCATTATATGAAGATATTAAAACCTACTGCCTCTATAAAATCACCGCCAAATTAAAAAAAAAAACACAGACACCAAGGGACCCCTCAATATCAGATTTCGGTAGTCCAGCCCTGTCCCTTCACTTAATACCTAATTTAGTACCAATTAGTACTTTTTGAACAATTATAGTACACATTTCTACAACCACCTCCATATTTAAACCACAGACACCAGGAGTAACATCCATATCAGATTTAAGAATTTTAGTTCTATTTCCTCAATCCAAAAATTTTTTTGTTGGGAGAAAAAGCTTTCGAGTGTTTCCTATTCTAAGGAGACCTTAAATAGTTGTTCTAATAATAGAAGGCATTCGGAGGGCTTTCTACGAACACGAAATTTTCCAACAGCCTGCAGGGAAAAGATGATTTTAAATAAAACTCCTTCAAAGTTGAAAAAGGGATTTTTTGATAAAAGACTTTTTAAGTCTCTCATTGATAGAAGACCTTTCAAAGGTATTCATAGAAAGATATCCCTCCTAAGGTCGCCTTCTATAAACAGAAGACTTTTTTAAAGTTCACGTAAGAAACCTTTCAAAAGTCATCGAAGGACTGCACTGCTTCTATAGATCTTTTTTGGCAAAAAACATCTCTTTGGTCTTTTATAGGCATCTCCAGGTCTTCATTCTAAAGGTCTTCTATAGATAAAAGACTCTATAGTTTCTTCACATACAGATAACCCTCTAATGATATTTTATGGAAAGATAACCTTCAAGAGGTCTTCTGTATCTAAATGTGTCCTCCTTGAAGTTCTCCCTGAAGTTCTCCGTCAAAGAATGAAATTTCAAAAGGTCCTGTTTTGATATATTATTGAAATATAATATTCAATAAGTTTTCTCTATCTTCCATAAATAAAAGGTACACTGAAGTTCTCCATGGATGAGTGAATAAATTGTCTTCTGAAGCTCTCCGTAGATAAATAAAATGCAAATGTTCTGTTTTGATCAAGGATCCGCTATGGACAGAAAATGTTCTAAAGGGTGTTT